CGTAATGAATAAAATGATGCCCACGAATAGATAAACATCCATTGAGTAGTAGACAAAGCGTGATAAAAACACCGCATCGGCTTTAGTGAGGGGAGCGCCCTCTGTTTTGGCGACATATTCCACCCACCAGATGGCCGATTGCAACGCAGTTTGTGGTCGATGTTTGTAGGAGAACGAGACCGCTTTGGCATTGTCCATGTATCTGAAAAAATAAAGAATTTAAAAACTTATTTCTGTGCTCTCCACTTATTCTGTGTGCCACTTAACTTACTGCTTCTTCAGCACTTCCCTAACCGATCTGAGCACTGAATTCTCCGTGATATCCTCATAGAGCAGCACTAGGCCCATGCCGCGTTGCTTCAAGGCCGCCGCATTCAAAAACTGATCGCCATACATGGGTGTAGCAACAACGGGCACACCACAATAAGCCGCCTCCGAGCTGCCCATTAAGCCGCTATGTGTCATGAAAACTTTCACATTCGGATGACAGAGTATGTCGCGTTGTGGCAGCCATTTACCTATGTACAAATTGTCCGGCTTGTCTTCCAATGTACTACTATTCTCCCATTTCCAAATGACGCGCTGCTTGAGACGCTTCACAGCGCGCAAAATAGCTTCGCGCTTGGCTGGCGGCAAGGTTTCGGCGCGTATCATCGAACCCCAACTAATGAAGACGACGCCATGCTCGGCATTGTGGATAAACTTCTGCAGCTCGGCATCCAGCGGCTTAGCCTTTTGTATATGTATGCCGCCAAGCTCCACGACAGAGGGTGGCAGTGGCTTAACGCCGCTCAGTGAGAAGTGTTGATTCACGAAGTAGGCTGAAGTTTGCTTAGCCAATTCAGCAACGGAGGGTAGGTCATGACCAAATTTGTATTGCACCATGGCATCGGTTGTGGGAGTGATGGTGAAACTGTTAGGCGTGTGAAAAAAAAGAGAAAGAGTGTTGATAAAAAACAAAAATTGTCTACTTCGCAAGTGTCTAGTGCTAGGTATTTTCATACAAACTTACTCATAAAACAAACGCGTGCTGTGGAAGATGAACCAGTTGGCTAGGCGCTGGACGAAGCTCATCGACTCCGATTGTCCCATGAAGATTGTCGGTATAGATGATGGTATCATGGGCACGCCCATGCGTTCGTAGTGCCAAGGCATCATCGCACAGCTAATTTCGTATGAACAATGCAAAACGGAAGTGCACTTTGTGAGTTTTAAAAAATGCAACTTGAGCTTTTGTTTACAAAAAGACATTTCCACTATTTCCACTACTCCCACTCACCTACTCAACGCTATGAATGGCGCCTTGAGTTGATGTGCCACCGCCACCATGCAATCGCTGTTGAATTGCTCCATAATGATTATATCGAAATGTTGCCGCTGTCGTAACACCTGTGCCAAGGCTTCGGAATGTAGCGTCTGATTGCAGGCATCCTTACCCCAGTTGTACAAGTTATACAGCGTACGGAATATCCCAAATTTAATGTAGAAATGTCTGTTTTCAAACGCCTGCAAGGAGTAAAAGGAACATTGGAAAAATCGATATGTAAAAATGTAAGGGTTAGGTTTTCTTTATGTATTTTACAAACCATCGTGGAAACTTAATGAAGAAGGGCCTGTATCTTTCCAAATCAAGAGAAATCAATGGCGGTTGATAGCACAAGTGCTGCGTAAAGAAGCTATCAGCTTATTGTCAGATCTAGAGCACTTCTGGAATCTATCTGGATTATCTAGAGTAGATTCGCTTTTTACTAGCTGAGAGCGCGTCAGATACATCGCCCTAAACCGTGTTCGGCGAAAATGCTTTGTAGAAGTCTCAGCTCCTGGGAGAAGTCGTAAACGAGCAGAAAAATCAATTCCAAAACACAGGACCGCATTTACTTTCAAAAAAAAACAAAGATAATTATAGGAATGCAGAAAGACTGTAAGTAGAAACCCACTTTTAAAAAGTATCCATATCGTAGCCTAAAGCCTAGCAAGGTCTGCTTCGCAAGGATCACAAATTATCTTCTGTTGGTTCATAAATGTGTGGCCTGGTTACTTGAGCAGAAGCATTAGACAGTTTACTTGGGAACTTTTATTATTTGGTCGTTTTGGAAGTATCTGTTACGCTACCTTTTTTCGATAGAAGTACTACAAAGAAAACAGACTTTCAGCTGATGTGAGGTATGAGTGGCTGTTGCGGCACACTTAGGCCTAAAGGGAACGACCCGTTGTGGTACTACAACCCGGTGTGATTACACTTCCCCTTGCTGAGCCATTTAGAGTCTCTGTTGAAGTTGACTGTTTTCTCCTTCCCAGAAGTTTTTCTTGCAATTTCTGAAACATCTACGAAACGATACTCCGAGCCATTTCACTTGCTCACCTATACGACAATGGCCCGTTAGAGCTAAGTTGGTGTTGGTTATATCCTCTATTCTTAAAGAATACAAACATCGAACTCTTTTTCAAATCCACCTAGGCTAGGCAGAACGGCAGCCTTGTAGGAGGTGTTTTTTGTTAGGAACTCTCCGTAAACCTCAAGACTAGACTGCAGGATTTCCGGAGCTGTTTCAAATGGAGGTTGGTAGCCACTAGCTAGGTACTAGTATTTAGTCTAGTATCATTAGAAAGATGGGTACTATGACAATCAAGCGGTAGGTAAACAGTGGTTTAAAATCGCTTATATGTAGTGTGATCGAAACTGGTTTGGAACTACCTAACCAGGAGAAACACTTCCAAGTTAGGTAACGGCAGGGTTAATAAATTTGTAGTCAGGGCACCATCAAAAACATTTCTCCGGACAAGGAATATATGTATGTATGAGTTCCTCCCTGTGGCCAATTCCTAAACTAATGGGCGTTTAGTTGGTTCAGTGGCGCTTTTTGTTCTGGCCGGTGGTTTATTGAAGGAGGGCCAAAAGGAGCCGCTTAAGTTAACTAAGCGCCAACTTAGGAGCTGGAATTTCAATAGGACCTCCCGACTGTCGTAGCAGTTTGCAGGATATCGGAGTGGAATTATCTCGGTCATCCGATTCTGCGATGCCCAGCTTTCGCCTCGTAAAGACAATACAATTGGGTTGTTCACACTTGCCTGGTTATCCGGTTATCTGGTTGAAAATTATTATGTAGTGTATGTTATTGTTGTAAATTAAATTCAAAATCTAACCACATAATCAGATAATCTGATAACCAGGCAAGCGTGAACAACCCAAATGATTCCACTATATGGAGAATCAGAGTTCACTAAAGTGGCAGCAGAATGTGGCAACTTGGCTTAAGTGTCCTGAACTCAGTTAAGGATAGTGTCAAGCACTTTTCCCCTTCTCAATCTCTTAATCAAACTCCATTTTAGCAAATTACCACACACTTTAACACTTACCTTCAAATCCACACTATTCGTCAAAGTTGCATGATTCGTCAGCGGCAAATCTCTATAGCCCACCGGTGGGCTTTTATCCGGAAAATGACTTATCACCGTAACGTCATGTCCTTTCTCAGCTAGGCCACGCATAATTGGATGAAAGAAGTTAAAATGACTAATGGCAGGGTGCGGAAATAGACCCAGTATCTTAAGTGGGTAGCTGGCTTGCACCAAAGTGCAGCAGAGGCCAAGCAGCAGCAACAGGTGGCCAGATGTTGGCATCGCCATTTCGCTGAAAGAGGGGAAGGTGGTTGCTTTTGAATGAATGAAATACCAAAATATGCGCATATAAAAAAAAATAAATAAATAATAAAAATAAAATTTTCGCGAGACAAAAACACTTGTATATAATTTTCTCAAAAACCAAAAATAAAAATAAAGAAAATCCCAAAGCGTTTATATAAGGCACAAAATTTTCTTTTGCGACCACAAATTGCAACGAAAGTACGAATTATTTGCGATAGAAGTAGCGCGAAATTCATTGCACTGAAAACAAAAAAACAAAAAAAAATAAAAATCCGATACCGGCTTTGACGGCTTAATTTTATATGAATGCACCTATTTATGTACATATGTCTGTATGGCTGTGTAGAAGTTGGCCTGTTTTTAAATTATCACTTAATGACACGTTTTTTGCATTGCCTATTTATTTGGCTGTTTGATCGCTTTAAATTTATATTTTTTATCTTTATTGTTTATATATATTTACATAACTTTTTTATCTCAACATTTCCAGCTCACTCACCAGTGCCTGATTATGCAGAAAAAATTTGAAAATAGCTGCGTATTTTATTTTTTATTTTTTATTTTCGATATTAGACTAAATTTTCGCGCCGAACGCTCGACTCGTGCAAAAATTCTTAACAGTGTTTTATTAAAATGTCCACGAAATCAAAAAAAAAAAATAAAGAAATTGAAAAATAAATCAAAAACCAGTTAAGTTTGCTGCACGGCCGAACCGTTTTGCTGAAGCTTTCTTCGACGACTGACTAAGTCAAGGCACTGCCGGCTAAAAAGGCCTTAGCCAGCTCGTTAACTAGCAGCACTTCGTATGACTAGTCCACTTGCAAACAGCGATATGTGCCATAAATTTAAAAAAAAAAAACGTCTACAACAACAAATAAAATCCAAGTTGTATATTTTTTTTTTCTTATCTGAAAATTTGGATAATTAAGAGGCTAATAACATTAAAAAAAACAAAATCGCAGTATGGTTGTTTTTGCAAATTTTATATATAAAAAATTAATATAGCGAGTTTTGAAACAGTAACTGTTACATAGCTAGCTTTTCGTGTTCTCTCTTCCATGAAGAATGGTCTACTTCTTTTGTCAATGTCTCATAAATTTTGGACATAATTTTTAGTAACCTAAAAAGTGGACATATATTTTTTGTCTTTTAAAGCCTGTGCCTAATTTTTTTTTTTTATTGAAAACTTGCCACAAATTTTTTTTTTAATTAAAAACTTCACATACATTTTTGGTAATTTAAAAATGAGATATACAAACATTTTCACATATTAGATATTTTTAGACTTGGACTTTTGGTAAATCAAAAACTGGACATAATTTTTGGTACCCACTTTCAAAATTGGGCATACAGTATCGGTCATATCTATAGCACGCCATTTCAAAGTGATATAGTGTGCCACTTATGCTTATTTATTTATTTTTAAGAATTTTCAATTAAAATACAGTTCTTTCTCTAACAAACCCCACATAAACCCAAGTTTAACAATTTGTAGAAAACTTCAAAAAATGGCAACAAATTTTCACCTAAGTTTCAAACTTTTTTCTCGGAAGTGTTAGAATTTTTTTGAGTACAGTTTTTTAGCCACTGCAATTTTAGTCTGATAATGTGAAAATTTCAAGTGGCTACGAATTACCGTTAATTTTTTAGAATTTTTTTTGTCGCATTGGCTTCCATATAATGAATAAACTCAATTTATTTGTATATGGAAGAAAACCGCAACACCTTTGGCGAAAAAAATTCTAAAAAATCACCGGTAACTTTCAGTCACTTGAAACTTGCACATTGTCAGACTATAATTGATTGGGCTATAAAACTGTGTATTCAGAAAAATTCAAACACTTCCGAGAAAAAAGTTTGAAATTTAGGTGAAAATTTGTTGCACTTTTTTGAAGTTTTCTACAAATTGTTAAACTTGGGTTTATACGGGGTTTGTTAGAGAAAGAACTGTATTTTAATTGAAAATTCTCAAAAATAAATAAATAAACATAAGTTGCACACAATATCACTTTGAAATGGTGTGCTATAGATATGACCGATACTGTATGTACATTTTTGGAAATTTAAAAACTGGATATCAACTTTATATATTTAAAATAATAATTTATTAGTCAGTTAAAGGCATGAAAAAACTTGTTGGCTATTTTGAAACTAGACATAACAATTTGGTAATTTAAAAGCTGTATGTTCGTAAAATTTTTGGCATTTTAAAAACTGAGTATACATTTTTATACAGATAATATATAAAAGTTGTTGATATTTAATAGTTAGTTAAAAGCCGGACAAAAGTTTTTGGTTATTTTAAAACTAGACATAAAATATTGGTGATTTAAAAGTTGTATACAAAATTGTTGGTCATTTAAAATTAGACATACATTTCTTGTAATTAAAAAACTGAACTTGAATTCCAATATTTTCAAAGTGGGCATATATACATACATATGTACATATTTCGTCCTTCAAAAACTAGTTTAATTTTTGAAACACAGAACATATTTGCCAAATAAAACAAATAGAAAGAAATTTTCATATTTTAAAACCAAACCCTAATTTGTTGTGAAACAAATTTTGGTGCTTAAAAAATTGGAAATACATTTTTGAAATTTACAAATTGCATATAAACCTTTAATTATTTAAAACTTGGTCAACAAAATAGAATGGTTAGTTAAAAACTACGCAATTTTTTTTTTTTTTTTAATTGAAAATTATACATATATTTTGCGTAATTTTAAAACACGACTACAATTTTTGTCATAATTTTTGATAATGCTAAAAACTAGACACACATTTTTCGTAGTTAAAAAATTGGCCATGATTTTTAGCAATTTCGAACTTGGACATTTGAATCCATCCAAGATAGCCTAGATTCCGCTGCCAATTTCGTCCAATAATCTGCTAACTAAATGAATGAAGCACTTCAATAATAGATCGAGTACAATATATTAAACTATATTTTTATGCATCTATTTAAATTAAATATTTTACACTAAGCCTTAACAGTGTTAATTTTAACCATGGTAGTAGTATACTCAAAAAAAGCGTATCGCTAGAAAATCTTCCTTCAGTCAAAATTTCAATCAACCACGGATCTTATCAACCATTTTGGTTGCCTAATATAAAATAAATAAAGCGTAGTAAATGTGTGCTGATTAACTACTTACAACACGGCTGTATCACGGTGCCCATCTTCAAAGCACTGCAAACAAAATTTGTTGTCGTAGTGTTTTTTAAATATTCGCTTTGTTTCCTTTCTTTTCCAGCAGAAAATTATCGGGAAGAAGAAGAATGAGAAAATTTAAAGAATTACGCTCACAGAGAGCGAAACAACGAAAAAGTAATGAAACGCAAAACTAGCAAGTAATCAGCTGATCGATGTATTTGATTATTGAAAATGTTTGGCGCGTATTTTTGTTGATCCATTTTGACAGCTCTAGTTTCTGTTAGTAAAAATTTTACCAGCAGAAATTAGCAGGAGAGCCAATAAAAGAAGAGCGTAAGAACGAAAGAGACTTGTTAGTTTCTGCTAGTTTTTTGTGTTAAGAAACGCTTTCCAGCAGAAATTAGTCCTAATTATCTGTTAAGAAACAAAGCTATTATGTTCGTAGTTGGCCAACAATTAAAGGCATGTTTACCTTATTGTTGGTGTGAGCGCACATTCAAACAAACATGATTAAGTCGGTACCCTGCAGGAAATTCCTTTATTGATGTTTCGGCGCTAGCAACATTTCGAACAACGAGCGAGAGAAACACGTCGCACAGTGTTTCGACTTTATGGAGGCGGCTGGATATAATAGTACACCTGCACCGATTTCACAGAAACTTGACATGTGCTCTAGTTTTACTTAGAAATAGAGAATCATGAAATTTTGTAAAGATGGAATAATTGCCACGCCCTCTACTCTTGTGGGCGGAAACATTAAATGTCATCCGAATTCGTTGAAATTTAGTTTGTAGGCTTTATTTTATTAGAAAAACCTAGATATATAAAATACGGGAAAGATTGGATCACTATAACGTCCAGAACTCACAAAAAATGTGGGCCCGTCATTAAATGTGTTGGAATTTTGGTGAATTTTTGTTTCCTGCTTTCCACAAAGGTAATACTATAAAATGACTTAGGTGTAAATACTCGCTTTTTCCCTAATGTTTGGTAAGATTCTTTCGTTATTCGAAAAAATCGTTTCGCGAAATTATGCAAAAAGCTGAAAATCAAAAACTAAGAAAATCAAAAATTACATATATTTGCCAAAGTCAAATTATATATTCGAAAACTACATAAAAGTCTCTAAACATTCGTCTAATTTCAAGACCTGACGGAGCGGTACTTACACTTTTTTTTTACTAATAGTCTTTAGCATACGCATTTCAAAGTAAATTTTTTGGTAATAAAATAGGAAAGTACCAAATAAATGATAAATACCTCCACCTGAATATTCCACGACATTTAAATAATTGATTACAGTTGAAAAAGAAACACTTTCTTTAATGGGTTAATCGCCACAAGCAACTTTGGAAATGTATCGTTCGTGAGACAAATATTATTTATATGTATACCAGGAACTTATATTTAAGTGGTGGTTTTAATTAAAATTTTTAATAAAATTTGTAAATAACACTTTCTATTGAACTTCGTGGAAAATGATAAGTACCAGCCTTAAATTAAAACAACGACATTTTTTAAGTTTACACGCGGGAGTTACTTTTATGAATATGTAGCTCACTTAAAGCCCTAATTTCCGTAAATTTCTTAACTTTCACTAAATCGGAGGCATAAGTACGGTATTTGAAACAAAATACTCAAGCAATACTTAATAAAACTCTGTAAAAATAACTAACACATAATTAGCAATTGCCTCTTAAATACATATATGTTTTGAAACAACTCCATATATTTCCTATTGGGTATGCTTTAATGTATAAATATTTCTATTTGCGTAACGGTTTTTTTACACGAAATTGTCATTCGAGATATGTTTTTACCTACTTACCTTATCAAATTTACGATTACGATAATAGAGAACATACTAGCATATCTATGTATATCTAGATACATACTAACATATCTAAGGCGTTGGTATTATTTTTGTTAGATAATATTGTTTTTAATAATGTTGAAACACCTTGACTTAGTAGTAAGTAAGAAAGCCAGTGTTTTTATTACTGAAGGGGGTACTCGTGTGAGTAAACATTTATCTTCAAATTTTTAAGAATCGGTACTTGCATTTGCACTTAAATATATTTGTAAATATTTCCTTCCTACACTGACTTTGTGTTGTATTTTTATGATTTCTTCATGATATTTTCCTACGCTTTTACAATATTTCCGCAATACATTTATTTTATTTTACTTTATTATTCTTTAAGTTTACTTTTTCGATTTTGTTTGCGCAATACAATTTATACATATAATAGTTTATCGTAGCAAGAAAAGCATTAAGAAATTACAATGACTTTGTGTCGACGCAGTAAAAATTGGAGAAAATCGATGTATAAATGTATAAATAGGTATGT